TACATTATATAATATAATAATATACTATAATATATAAACATTTCTTGGGGCTCCACGAGAAACGTTTGCTTCATAAAGGGGTCTGCAGCTGAAAAGGTTTAAGAACCCCTGGCCTAGATGTTGGCTCTAAGCAGAAAAGACATATAAAATGAACTGATAAATGTTAAGTTGCGACCATACCTCGTGAAGTCAGATTTGGCCACGGTGGTCTACATCTCTAGATTGGACTATTGCAATGCGCTCTATGTGGGGCTGCCCTTGAAGACGGCCCAGAAATTCTAACTGGTCCAACGAGCGGCAGCCAGACTACTAACTGGTGCAAGCTACAGGGAGTGGTCAACCCCCCTATTTAAGGAGCTCCACTGGCTGCAATTTATTTTCCGAGCCCAATTCAAGGTGCAGGTTTTGACCTACAAAGCCCTAAACGATTTGAGACCCGCCTACCTGCATGACCGCATTTCCGTCTATGAACCCACGCAACCTCTTCGATCTTCCAGTGAGGCCCTTCTCGCACTCCCACCTTTATCGCAAGCACGACTTGTGGGGATGAGAGAGAGGGCCTTCTCTGTGGTGGCCCCTCGGCTCTGGAATTCGCTCCCCAGAGATATTAGGCAAGCCCCCACCCTGGAAATCTTTAGGAGGAGCCTGAAAACTTGGCTGTTCCAATGTGCCTTCAATGACTGAATGTGTGATATAATCCCTGACCAAACTCTGCATAAAATGTCCTCAGAAGCACTTTATTTTCTGGTTTGTGCAATGAACTTTTACCTTATCCCCCAGATCCCCTTCCTGATATTGTACACTGCCTTATCTCCCAGTGTTTTAAAATTTTAATTTTTGTACTGGCCCTGCCCATTGTGTTCATTTTTAGTGGTTTAATGTTTTGATTTTATATTGTTGTGCTGTATATTTACATTTTGTATTTTTGTATTTTATGTTATTTTATTTTCTGATTTTCTGTTGTGTTTTTGTGTTATATTGTGTTTCTGTATTGATGGGCGTGGCCTCATGTAAGCCGCCCCGAGTCCCCTTGGGAGATGGTGGCGGGGTATAAATAAAGATTATTATTATTATTATTATTATTATTATTATTATTATTATTATTATTATTATGTCTACTTATATCAATCTCACTGTAGTCAGGAATATTAGCTTGAACTAAGCCATACTATATAAGTGGAGGAAAGACCAATGTTTGTAGTGAAACCAATTCTTTTTTGTCGTTTGTCCAGAGCAACAACTCTTTTCAATAGCTAGTACTTTTCAAACCTTATGGATAGGCACACTGTTGTATCTCTCTTGTTACAGAGTTCTTGTGTTTCAAAGAGCATCTAACAGGTGCCCAGTATCCTCTGACCAAAATTAAAAAGTGACACAGAAGAATATTATGACATAAGGATGTGTTGCCTGGGCATGAGAAAATCTACTTAGAAAGCTTTGGGTGCCAAGAACTGTTTGTATAACGTCTTGGGGATCAAGTACTACACCTTTTACGAAATGTGGATTTCCTCAGGTTGTGGAATATTTTTATTTTATGTAAAAGTTTGTGGAGATTTACATAGTGAAGCCAGTGCCCTGTGCAGTGGATTGACTGCTGGATTATGTCTTGAGAAACCAGGGTTTGAATCCCTGCTCGGCCATGGACACCCACTGAGTTATTTTGGGCAGGTCACATTGTCTTAATCTGAAACAAAGGCGGGGGAAAATTCCACTTGAACACATCTTGCTGAGAAACACCCATTAAAGCTTTTCCTTAAGGTTGCCACATTTGGAAACTACTTGGAAGCACACAACAACATGTTTGATACTCAAGGCACTTTGCGATGAAAACAGTAACAAAGCTGCATGATTATAAAACACCATGATAGTTGCCTTGCTGCATAATATTCATGTTCCTCAGGCACGCACTCAGCAAACGAAGACTGTCACATCTTTTTGGGTATCAGAGACCAAAATGTCGTCATGCCGTTAAAATCCATTAGTTAAAAGAAGGATCATATGGGCCAAACCCAAAGGAAGGCAAGTCCAGTGGAGTTTTTGGGACTTCCAATGCCTCATCTCTTTTCAGCCAATGCCTCATTGTTACCTCCCCAAACCAAATCACCTCTGTCATTTCCAATGCTATTTGAAATGCTAATTTGGGGCAGGGGAGCTCACCATTTCAAAATAACATGACCCTTACCCAGAAAAGTCCCCAAAAGTGACCAGGAATGACACAATTTCTGGTTGACCAGAATGGTGGCCACAACAGCACCCCACAGATCTCCGAAAGTCTGGAGATGCTGAAAGTTGGATGATGAAGCCCTCTAGACATGCCCATCCTTGTGTTAAGTAGTAACCTGTATTCATTATTTTCCTCTCTGTTTTCAGTTGAGATGTACTACATGTAGTCTGGTTACATCCCGTATAGACTACTGCAACACACTCTATGTGGGGCTGCCTTTGAAGACTGTCTGGAAGCTTCAAATGGTCCAGTGAATGGCAGCCAGATTGCTAACTGGAGCGGCACTCAGGGAGCGTACAACTCTTCTATTACGTTACCTCCACTGGCTGCCAGTTTGCTACCGGGCACAATTCAAAGTGCTGGCTTTAGCCTATAAAGCCCTAAACGGTTCTGGCCCAACTTACATGTCTGAATGCTTCTTCCTTATGAACCATATAGGATCTTGAGATCGTCTGGGGAGGCCCGGCACTCATTACCACAAGTACATTTGGCGGAGCCGAGAGACAGGGCCTTCTCGGTGGAGGCCCCTCGGCTGTGGACGCCCTCCCTATAGATATTAGATCAGCTACCTCCCTTTTAACATTCCGGAAAAAAGTCAAGATGTGGCTTTTTGAGCAAGCACTTGCACAGGAAAATGGAACAACTAGACAATGTCCAGACAACGTTTTTAACAAGGAGACACTATGAATTTATATTTTATTGATTTGTTTCGTTTTTATTATATGTTATGTTTTTAGTTGTATTTATGACATTGTAAGCATTGAATTTTGCCCTGTTAACCACCTTGAGTCGTGTACAGTCTGAGAAGGGTGGTATACAAATATAGTAAATAAATAATAAATAAATGAATTAAAACATTGGTGCTGGGAACTTCAAACTGGGCCAATATTTGGAGAACTGGTGCCACTTGTAAGTGTTCTCCATGCAGAAGGTTATTTTGAGTTGACTTTCCTAGAAACACTTGGTTTCTTTATGTTTATAAATCTGATTCTATTGTTTTCTTCTGTGGGGCACGCCAGAGTCCTTTCTTAAAAGCTGTTGGCTTTTTCTCTTGTGATAGTTATAATGACTTTTCCATTAATAAATTGTGGGCAGGGGGCAAGTTGCACAGGTGGCTTCTGACTGCGAAATGGCAATTAGGGAAGCGAGAGGAGCATCTAAAAGGAGCATGGGTGCACCAGCTGCTAAGACAGCATGTGTCAGGGGGCCACCAAGAAGGCTTGATCACATTAAAATACATTGCTAATGAGTCCTTGTAAAAGAGGAAAGGTGGCATAGCTGAGTCCATAAGATAAGTAGGATACTGATCAGGCCCGTAGCCAGGATTTCATTTCGGGGGGGTCGGGGGGCTGAATTTTTTTGGGGGGGGGTTGGGGGGCTGAGTTTCGGGGGGGGGCTGAGTCTGAGTGAAAGAGGGTCTAGCCTAGCAAACCTTTTGTATCATTACCCCAATACCCCCATGCATATGGGATATATTGAGTATGGTGATCAGATCATGATATGAATAAACATAACAGTTTAAATAATGCACCAGTAAGGCCTTTTCGCGAACCACCATGAGAATTTGAGGGGGGGGGGCTGAACATGATTTTTGAGGACACCATACTGATAGAACCGAGCATAAAGATAGTTAAAGAATGCTCATCTTGTCTCCTAATGAACCCGCCTGCTGTTGATCAGCATGGCAAAGCATTTGCTTGTCTCATCCATGGCCACAATTCTTCAGCGACTACAAGGAAAGTGAAATGAAGCTACCAAAAGATACCTTTTCCTTCAGCCCTTGATCATTAGCACTTTTTGTTTTTCAACATAGTGGCATTTCTTTACTTCTCCTTTGTAGGGAGGTGAGGTTATTGTTGAATCATTCCCCTCTTGTGCTGCTTGTAAGACTTTCTCACGCTGTTTGATCTGATATGATTGTGTATGTGTCTCTGCATGCAGTCTGTGAGTCTTTCTTAACTGGAATCTCTGTACCAAAAGCATGTCATTTTGGAAGCAGCTCCGTACCCAGAAGTCAATTCCTCTTTTGCTCCTTATAATTTCTTTTTCATGGAAATGCATTCTAGGATTGTGTCAGAAACAAAAAGGAAGGTCCTGCAGGTTCATTAACACTTTGTCAGCTGAAGAAACTGGTGCTCAATTCAGCGGGGAAAAAAGTTATCATTCACTTTGCTTCAGGTTTCACTTCTGATTATGTTTGGTGTGATAAATGGCGATTTGAAAGGTGTCCATGATGATGATGATGATGATAATGATGGTGATGTTCCAGCTGATTGTCTCCTTGAAATCACCTGTCTTATGTGTCTTTCCTTCTTCCACTGTGTGTGACTTGAATTAGAAAGCATTCGGGAAAACAACTCACGACAACTATGCCTAGAGGTCACCTACTTCCCCCTCCCTTTGCAGGGTGGGACACTGAGCATGGAAATGTGACATGGAGGGTGAGCCCAACCAATCACCTTGTATGAAAGGTTTGTTTTCATCCCCCCCCCCCCCCCCCCGCCGCCTTCTCCGTCTTTTTCCTCTGGCTGATTGGAGCAAAAGCACATTCAGTAACAGAGACCTTGTCCCTTGAGTTAAGAGTATGGTTACACTGTCAGCAGCTGCCGGAGCTTATCAGTTGCTGGAAGTGGGGAGAATCTCTCTCTCCTCCCAATCCCTTCTTCTTTCTCAGTTGTATTCTATGTCACGGTTTCCTTCCTCCTGTCCCTGGCTCTGTGTCTGTCTTTCTCTCTCTTCCCCCACCCCCATTTCTTTTTCTCTGACTTTCTCACAGCTCCTCCTCACTTTCCATTCAGTCACTCCGAAGTGCTGTACAGATGAGAGTTTTTCAGCTGAGCCCTGGAGAAGGCGTTGATCCATCACACAAGGAGGCAAGAAAACACTTCTGGAAGCACGGCAAAGCAGAGCAAAGGGAAGCCGGTGGTTGGCAACTCAGCTTTTGTCCCTGATGGTGTTTTGAAGGAGCCACATGTGGAGGAAGAAAGTTCTCTCTTAAGGTCACAGGACTTGGGTAGAAACTCAAGAACACATTGGAGCTGGCTCTGCTGGTGGCCTTGAGGCTCTTCCTTGTTAAATGAAACCACCTGAGGAATATGAGATTTCCGACTGGCGAGGGAGGGAAGATGCCAAGCTGGGTGAGAAGGCAGCAAGGCGGATTTTGATTCTTTGGTGTGGCTTGCACTGAGACCACGGTGGGGCGGGGGTGAGAAGGAGGGCTCCTTGGAGTAAATGAAAGTGGGAGGAGAAGTGACACAGGAGCTGATGCCAACTGCCAAGATGACTGAAACCCTTCAACTCCCTGCACTGCAAGTCCCAGAGCAGCAGGAGGTGGAGTGTGCCCGAGCCTGGTCCAGCTCATCAACGCCAACCTTTCGCCGAAGGCGGTTCAGGATGCGGCGCACGAGGAACATTCACGAGCAGAGCCTGGAGGCCGCACCTTCCTCAAATAAGGATTTCCTACAACTTCCCTCCATTGAAATCACCCCTTCTAGTGATGAGGACACCCCCTGGTCGAACTGTTCCACACCCAGCGCCTCTCCGCGACGCAAGCGCTTCCTGCTCCGCAAGTGGCTGAATGTCAGGGAGAAGAAGGAGTACAGTGAGAGCAGGTGGGTCATCTCTTTCACCTTTCCCATTGCCCATGGGGAAATCCTTGAAGAGCAGGAGCAATGGGTTTCCTCTTGCTTCCTGCAACTTCCTGTGCATGTCCTATCTTGTTTCTGTCTCCCTCTGCTGGTTACACCAGATGAAGAGAGATGGCAACTTGATGCCCATTTGGCACTGATTTCTTAGTCCGTGATCTCAGAGAACAAATTTGTATCTCTAGACCAATGGTTCTCAACCTTCCTAATGCCGTGACCCCTTAATATGGTTCCTCATGTTGTGGTGACTCCCAACCATAACATTGTTTTCATTACTACTTCATAACCGTCATTTTCCTATTATTATAAATCGCCATGTAAATGCCTGATATACAGGATGAATTTTCATTCACTGGACCAAATTTGGCACAAACGCCTGATATCCCTAAATTTGAATACTGAAGAGGTTGGGGGAATTGATTTTGACACTTGGGAGTTGTAGTTACTGGGATTTATAGTTCACCTGCAATCAAAGAGCATTCTGAACTCCACCAATGATGAAATTGAACCAAATATGGCACACAGAACTCCCATGACACACAGAAAATACTGTAAGGGTCTGGTGGCAACTGATCTTGAGTTTGGGGGTTGTAGTTCACCTACATCCAGAGAGCATTGTGGACTCAAACAATGATGGATCTGGACCAAATTTGGCATGGGTACTCAATATGCCCAAATGTTAACACTGGTGGAAGTTTGGGGAAAATAGACCTTGACTTTTGGGAGTTGTATTTGTTGGGATTTATAGTTCTCTCCTACAATCAAATAGCATTCTGAGTCCCACCAATGAGAGAATTGGGCCAAACTTCTCACTCAGAACTCCCGTGATCAACAGAAAATACTGTGTTTTCTGATGGTCTTTGGTGACCCCTCTGACACCCCCTCGTGACCCTCCCAGGGGTCTCGACCCCCAGGCTGAGAAACACTGCTCTAGACAGATTGTAAGGAAAATGAGAGATAGGCTTGAAGAACAATCGTTATTGGAAATTTTCAAGATGCTGTATGGTTCTGATACGCTAGCTTGTACCACCAGTTATTGCCCGTTTATTAAATCATAGCCAGAGAAGGAGAAATAAGTCTTTGGTCATGTGTAATGTAACACTGAGATGCGAAAAGCATGATGAAAAATGGGCAATTGGCCATAGAGTCACACCTGGCTCTACTGGACCAGAATGCTGTATTCACAGATCACATGGTTAAGTAACTGATGGGAACTTACAGAGTTATTGGTTTATATAGGTCTCTGTTGTTTATATTGAACCGGAAGTCTGCAAAAAAAAAAAAAACCCCAAACAAACCTTGAGAGCTGAGTAAAATATATTTCATTGAGATATATCTGGCTGGGAAATATCTGTTTAGTTCGTGATGCTGTTTACTCTGAAATGCATGTAATTCTTAACCATGGTTGGCATTTATATCAAGTGACATTCATGATGATAAGACAATTCAATATTCATTATGTTTGCTCAGAAGTAATTGAGATTACAATTAGCACACTATACAATATTTCAAGGATGTTCAATGAAGAAAACACATTGTTGCTTTGTCAACAGTCCAAATGATACCTCACAGTTTGCAACGAAGCAGTTAATCAATTACTGCAATTGAATTGAGGTGGTGCAATGGGTTAAACCAGGGGTCCTCAAACTAAGGCCTGGGGGCCCGGATACAGCCCTCCAAGATCATTTACCCGGCCCTCGCTCAGGGCCAACCTAAGTCTGAAACGACTTGAAAGCACACAGCAACAGCAACAACAACAACCCTATCTCATCAGCCAAAAGCAAGCCCACACTTCCCATTGAAATACGAATAAGTTTATATTGGTTAAAATTGTTCTTCATTTTAATCATTGTATTAAGTGTTTTTGCACTACAAATAAGATATGTGCAGTGTGCTTAGGAATCCATTCATGTTCTTTTCAAATTATAATCCGGCCCTCCAACAGTTTGAGGGACTGTGACCTGGCCCTCTGTTTAAAAAGTTTGAGGACCTCTGGGTTAAACCCTTGTGCCAGCAGGACTAAAGACCCACAGGTCAGAGGTTTGAATCTGGGGAGAGCGCAGATGAGCTCCCTCTGTCAGCTCCAGCTCCCCATGTGGGGACATGAGAGAAGCCTCCCACAAGGATGGCAAAACATCAAAACATCCGGGCGTCTCCTGGGCAACGTCCTTGCAGACAGCCAATTCTTTCACACCAGAAGCGACTTGCAGTTTCTCAAGTCATTCCTAACATGAAAAAAAAAATCTTACACTCAGTTTTTTCTTTCTTTGTCTCTTCTTGTAGTATATTTGATTTGTATAAGTGTTTTTGATCAAAACCGATAGCGTTGAAACACCACCACAACGAAGTGTAGCTTTTCACATATGGGTCTGAGTTTGGCACCTGTAACAGTAAGCAAATACTATCAGCTGCACACAAGATAACACATTTGAAAAGACACACAAACCATCGGCAATATTTGAATGTGTTGAATGCACGGCAAGAAGGTCGTTAGTGGATTATTCAAATGGATATAAAGTAAAATATAACAATGTGTGAAGCACGAAAGTAAGCATGTGACAGGAAATGGTGTGTACACTATAGGAAGGCAAGAACTGTCTTGTTGGGTCAGATCCGCAGTCTACACAGTCTAGTGCAGTATTTCTCAACCTTCCTAATGCTGTGACCCCTTAATACAGTTCCTCATGTTGTGGTGACCCCCCAACCATAAAATTATTTTCCTTGCTACGTCATAACTGTACTTTTGCTACTGTTATGAATTGTCATGTAAATATCAGATATATAGGATTTTCATTCAGTGGACCAAATTTGGCACAAATACCCAATACGCCCACATTTTAATACTGGTGGGGATGAGGTGAGGGGTTGGGTTGATTTTGTCATTTTGTCATTTAGTTGCTGGGATTTATAGTTAACCTACAATTGAGGAGCATTCTGAACTCCACCAATGATGAAATTGAACCAAACGTGGCACACATAACTCCCATGAACAACATATTGGGTTTGGTAGGCATTGAACTTGAGTTTGGGAGTTTTAGTTCACCTACATCCAGAGAGCACTGTGAACTCAAGCAATGATGGATATTCCAGAAAATACTGGAAGGGTTTGATGAGCATTGGCCTTGAGTTTTGGAGTTGTAGTTCATCTACATCCCTAGAGCACTGTGGACGCAAACAATGATGGATCTGGACCAAACTTGGCATGAATATTCAGTATGCCCAAATGTGAACACTGGTGGAGTTTGGGGAAAATAGGCCTTGACATTTGTTAGTTGTATTTGCTGGGATTTATAGTTCACCTACAATCAAAGAGTATTCTGAACCCTACCAACGATAGAATTGGGCCACATAGAACCCCCATGACCTACAGAAAATACTGTGTTTTCTGATGGTCTTTGGCAACCCCTCTGACACCCCCTCATGACCCCCCTAAGGGTCCAGACCCCCAGGTTGAGAAACACTAGTCTAGTGCTTTATTTCTTCTGAATGTATTGAGTCAGGGAACACAAAAACAGGGAATGAAAATGCATTTCCCTTCACAATTTAGCATCTTGTCTTCAGAGATACACTGCTGTTGCACATGCATGTCAGAACTGTGGTAACGCTTTCTTATTTATGTGTCCCCATGTCATCCTTCACCTCTGTGCCTGACAAAATTTCTGAAAGGGTGTTTGGAAAAAGGCTGGGGAATGTATGGATTAGGGAGCATTAGCATACCAAGGCCAGCATGGCACCTTGGCGGCTCATATAGCACAGGCTCCAAAGTCATCCGGCTGTAGTAACAGAAAACACACCAGGCTTTTCAAACCAATCCTTCTGTCTTGAACAGGATGGTCTGTAATGCTGATTTTGCTGCTTTCATATATATGAAAAGGATAACCAGGTTTCAAAAGTCCTGCAATAGAAAGGGGAAGCAAATCCTTAGGTTGCTGAAGATGCCTGAGAGAACTTGAGGGCATGAACAATTTTGTTCAGTTTAGCGTTGAACCATCAGAAAGGAACATATCATGATGCACGTACCATCTTAGAACAGGCACTCTCTCCTCCTGTGAGAGAAGGCCACATTCCTCTCATAACAATATGATCAGGTCTTTGTTGGTTCAGACGAGAAGCCTTGTCACTTTGCATTTGGGCAACTGGGGGAGGGACTGTGAATGCAGAATGTACCCTTAAGTCCCAGATAATTTCAGCATCATAGGATTACAAATCCCTGAAAATGATATTCACACTTCTGAAGGGCCCTGGAGGCCAAACATTTTGTCTAATTATGATTCCCAAACAGTTACAGATCAAAGTTATGGCCTTGGGAGGCAGATCGTCAAAAAGGACAAGGGGATGGACCACAGCAATAAGTCACCACGGGCAGAAATAAAAGCAGAAGAAGTGCCCCAAATAACTCATGCTCCTTATGGCATCAGCTTTAATGCTGTAATAATCAATAAGTACTGCCTTGGCAGAAAGGTAAACAGCATTCCATGCAGTCATGCCACATGACCTAGGAGGTTTCTATGGACTACGTAGGCTCTTCAACTTAGAAATGAAGATGAGCACCACCGTTAGAGCCAGAGATGAAGGGGAAGCCTTTACCTTTTTCTCTGTATCTGTGTTTCATTGTTTCAAGGCACTGAATGTTTGTTTTGTGTCTGTATATGTCTTTATATGCTGGAATGTTCCCTGAGTCCCCTCCGGCAGAATACAAATAAAGTGTTATTATTATTATGTCACCACCTCTCTAGATAATTGATTCCATTGCTGAGCAACTCTTGTGGTCAATCAGTTCCTCTTAATACTCCTTCAAAATTTACCCTTCAGACCATTAGACCTGGTCCCACAGATCAAACCTGCACCGTTTTCTCTCCAACCACCTACTAGTTATCTAAAGAATGCAGTCATGTCATCCTCCAGTCTCCTCTTCACTAGTATGAACATGCCAGACCCCTTCAAACTTCCCTGATACGGTTTGCTCT